TTTCTGGCGTGCCCAAGTGACGCAACCATGCACAGCGAATCGCGGCGCCTTAGACGACTGGGCCACCCGTACCCCCCGTGACCACAAGTGTTTATCATAGTCCGCTCCAATGATAAACTATGTGACTATTCCTTTCCGATGGCCCTTAGTTTGAACCCTAAGGGGATTCCAGGTCCGAATTCCGGGCAACCTGTGCTTGTCGTAAGTGACTTGATAGATCGGGAGGTCAATATGAGTGACTTGGTTGATGGTGTCACTGTAACCCGAAGGTGTAGATCGTTGCTCATAATATCAATCACTGGATAATTTGGTCAAGACTCGATTATTTGCAAGCAATCGGCATATAGCTGGAATATTACTGAGTAAGGCTTTTAACGAACGAACAAACGTTTGGTTGCCTCGTTGATACCTGTGGTACATCGTTGTCCGGGTACCTCGTTGAAACCTGGGGTACATCGTTGTCCGGGTACCTCGTTGATACCTGTGGTACATCGTTGTCCGGGTACCTCGTTGATACGTGTGGTACCTATCTCGCTGTCCGGGTACCGCGTTGATACCTATGGTACCTCGCTGTCCGGGAACCTCGTTGATACCTATGGTACATCGTTGTCCGGGTACCTCGTTGATACCTGTGGTACATCGTTGTCCGGGTACCTCGTTGATACGTGTGGTTCCTCGCTGTCCGGGTAAAGCGTTGATACCTATGGTACCTCGCTGTCCGGGTACCTCGTTGATACCTATGTATCCTCGTTGCCCGGGTACCTCATTGATACCTGTGGTACCACGCTTTCCAGTACCTCGTTGATACCTGCGGTACTTCGTTAATACCTGTTTTACCTCGTTGATACCTGTGGTACCTCGTTGATACCCATGGTACCTCGCTGTCCGGGTACCTCGTTGATACCTGTGGTACCACGCTATCCTGGTACCTCGTTGAGACGTGTTGTACCTCGCTACCCTGGTACCTCGCTGATGCCTGTGGTACTTCGTTGATACCAGTGGTACCTCGTTGCCCGTCTGAAAACATTGTGTAACACCCATTTACGTCGACGTCGACTTATTTGGTAATATCGTTCGAATGAATGTGTTGTCTTATTACAGTTGCTTACCAACAAATGTCCGACTCAACTGTGTGTAAGAATATGAACTCGTTTGATTGGTCGACGCCATCGGTTGCCCCTTCCATAAAATGACACATCATCATCAATTTGCCGGATGCGTCATTTATGAAATATTAAACGTCAACGCCAGAGAATAACCAGTCTTGATTATCCGACGAAACAGATTCCATTGGGCACAAAAAGCAAAATAGGAGTGGAAGTTATATGAATGGATCACTGAAAATCAGTGATGACACATATGTTCGCCAAAGCAACCATATGCTCACATCACACAAGATTTCGTTAACAATGCAAAAGTACGGCAAGGTAGCGCAGTGTTTAAAGTGTCCGCCCGTCACGCCGAAGACCCATGTTCAAACCCCCACATAGGAACAAGGTAGTCAAATTCCCTCGTCCCCGGTGCAGATATTAATGGCGTAAAACCTGTCACTCTCAATATATTAATCATGACGCGGTTCAAATGGGTCACACTGAACGAGTTTCAACCGTTTTCTGTGCTGGGCAACATTCGTAAAACAATCCAACTCCCAGGCTTTGGTCGTTGTTGATCCGACCGGATAACAAAATGTTTAATTAGTGGAAAAACCAAATCAGACAGTGCTTCAGGTCTTATTACAGCCGGCGTGATGACGCGTTTCTCCTGGGGAGTGGTAGCGGCAGCGTTGTCGTGTGCTGGAGCTGCTGCTTCCGTTAGAAACCACTTTGCAACTCCATATTGCAACGGAATTCTTCATGGATGATAAGATCATGGTTCTTCCCACTGGACCTGACATAAATGGTAGAAAACACCGCGTGGAATCAAGTTATCTCATAATTGTTTTTTTCAGCTTCCTCTTATATGGAAGACTAACAGCTTCATGGATTCGTCTTGACTGCTGAATTGTTTATTTGAAACAATCTCAATTTTCATGTGGGCAATGATTGTAAACAGTGGTACCTTTTGATCATTGGTGTGGAAGAATTTCGGCTATACGATATATTCATTATTGGGAACAGTCACTGTTTTTATCTATTTTGTGTGTGCAATCAGTCATCATGCTGATTCAATGGTAAACGCCGCCGTAATATGTTGTGCTGAGTTGCGTCCCTTTGCAGTATCCACTGATCGTGGGTTTGAATCCAAACTTCGCTCTGATAAGGATATTTTGCATCAAACCACGCTTGTAGGTTTCACAAAGTGGAACACGTCTAAGACCTGTACTGTTTAAAGCTACGTAAACCGTTCAATTACATCAATTAGTGAGTGGGTTGGGTTTAACGCCGCTTTTTACAGCATTAACAGTATTAATGTGGGAGGAAAGCCCGAAGTGATGCAGGTCATAGACGTTTACCACTTCGGTGAAACCCACGAGCACGGGTATGGTGCTGACAAACATAGAAACATAATTGTGGCGAACCGGAATTCGAACGCACAATCATAGGTTTCTGGCGTGCCCAAGGGACGCAACTCTGCACAGCGAATCGCGGCGCCTTAGACGACTGGACCACCCGTGCCCCCTTAAACCGGTCAACTTGGTTGCGGTATCTCTAAAACAAATATCAAGATGTCATTTCAGTTTAGTTGTCCTGAAGACAACATTGGACCAAATTCGCTCACCTTTTTGTGAATTTGCATCTCCCAAAATTAAATGCCATCTCTTTCCGGACCCATGGTTGACAGAGAGATGCCAGTTAAGTTTGGGAGACGCAAAACTCTACTCATGGTAGGTGTACATAAACTGTGTCCATATATGCCACAGAAAGCACCAGTGTGAAATGGAGAGGCTGTCTAGCAATAATTGCCAGACTGACGCACAGGCGATGTCGTTATGTGATGTTGGGTATATTTATATTACAAGAAATGTGCTGCAGACAGCTAATAGAATACAACATGTGAATTTCAAGCAAACTATGATATTTTTGTGTGTTATACGTAAGCTAGATAATTGCTGACAGTGCATAATTGTACGTCAGCCTTTTAGGGGTTACTAAAATACAATTGTAAATATGTTTGTTCAGCTACTTTATATCACGTTTGAGAGATGTTGCATAATTCACATCGTTTTAATGAACATCTTCGATGAAGTAAGACAAGTTCTATGGATGAACAACTTCTTTATTACAATCAGTGCGACGTTTCGGTGTAGATCCGAACACCTTTATCAAGCAAGTGATGGATAGTGCTAAACAACATGGCATTCTACCAGCGCTTCAACCGTTTGCTCCCACCGACAATGACTACAAATAAACTTACAACAATCTCCACAGCAACATAGCAATGTGATTAATATATCACCAGGGTTTATACGTTCTTGACAATGGCTGTAGATAAATAAGATGGATATCGCCAATAAAAGACTGAATCGTTCACAGTCACAAGTGGGAATAGGATTATTGGATCTTGTCAGCTGTATAGGTTTCACAATTAATACTGATTTATCAAAGGCTGGTTTAGACAAATGGGGAAAGACTGTTCAAATTGGTATTGGACGTAGTAAATAGTTTAGGTTTATTCCATAGGTCAACGTGTTGTTGTTTTTGTGGTAATTGCCAGTCTGTATAACGTTACTAATACCCCGTTCACATGCGCCTCATTATATATGTGTGTATATGTGCATAAGTGTGTAGAAATACTTACGTGAGTATACTTGTCATGTAAACACAAGGAGCAAATTTGCGTCATGTCTGGAGCAGGTGCAAATGTAAATGTAAATTTGCACTGTGTGTATATGTTGCAATGTGAACGTTTGTGTCAACGTAAAACGATGATCTCATTAATATCTGTTCTTTTGCCAACACCAAACAATTTGTCAACAGTTGCCAACTTTTATGCGTATATACAGAGTTGAGCGGACGTTGTTTTCTTTTTGTTTCAAGGAGTCAAAACTTTGTGTACAAATTAAATCAAACACATGTTGCTTCACGCGAAAACTTTCGGTGAAGTAACTCTCTTCTCGTTTAACTTTGCTTGGAAAACACCCTGTTTTGTGTTGAAAGTCGTAAACAGACTGACGAATATGTGTTCCTTACACAATTTACATACTTCATTTACACACCTAAGTCGATTTTCATATGAACGCATAGTAATTTTACATATACATAGGTATGTATAGTTACCCGTGCAAAATAACTTACGTTAGTAAATGTTGTGCATGTGAACGGGGTATAAGATAGGTCTATATACAGGCTCTGGGTAAATCTGGTTGTTTTGGCTCGTCATACAGAATGGGTCCGTTTACCATATTGATACAATATGTGAAGCCCACAATTCGTGTCCTCCACCAAGATGTGACGGGAATATTTTTGTTGTGTCTCAGGAGGTTGTCCAGGGGCACAGGTCAACGTCGCCTCCTGAGGTCAGAGTTGCGTCCCTTTACTGTGTCTGGATTAGATGCTCGTTGGTTCGCACCGATTATGTTTTTTGGTCTTACAGTACCAAAGTGATGAATGTTCACGACAGGCAGCAAGCTGGGCCTTCCTCTCACAATGAACTAACACACAGTGTCATAACTGAAATACTGTTCAAAGTGGCGTAAATCACCATCTCATCTCACTGCAAATACACGATCACATGTGTACAGAGATGTCACGAAGCCATTTTCCTCTAAGATACATCCTGACCCTCGGTTCTGGGAGCAGCACATTCATCTCCTGGTCCATCCATCTCCGTGAAATCCTTTAATTAATTACTACTTAAAGAAATTTTACAACCAATTTGTAAAATTCGCAAAGCCCTTTTCACAAACCCTAACCGTGTTACGAGAAGCTGGCGTGGAAACCGCTTTCAATTGATTTCCAAATAAATAATAAATTCAATATGCTAATTACCCAGCAAAACGTACCTTTGGAGCAAACATCCTTGTCGGAAGACTTCGATTAATTCATTTTCAATTGTTTCAGATTCGCTGGAAAGGTCGGAGGGGAAGATAAGTGAGTTTGTTGCAGAGTTGCATAGACAATATCCGGATACCATTGCTGAAGAAGACAACAATGACAAGATTTTTGAAAAACTCCTTCAGTCGAATATTTATTGGAATGAAAGGATATTAAACATTAGCAGTTATTCTACGCCTACATATGTCCCGAGAAATGTCACACGTGTAAGAAGGAACAGTGGACGTGGGAGCTATACCGTGCATACAAACTCATCTGGGTGGCCACAGACTCAGAATAGTAGGCATTCACGGAGCATATCGGAGCATCGCGTGGAGGATGATATCGCCCATGCATTCCACCTGGCCAGCATCACAATACTGGCGCTACTGGTCTTTGAGGTAAGTCATTGCTCTTGGTTGGGGGTTTCAGATGTGGTGATGATGGTGTGTCGCTGTTTGATGATGTGATGCGGGTGTGAATCTGTTGGATGAGAGGGTGAGTTTGTGGATGAGGGTTGAGGGTTGAGGGGTTTTGATTCTACTAGATGATGGTATTGGGGTTGGGGTGGGGGGTAAGGTTTGGTTGAAGGGGAAATGGATTTGGGGTTATTCGAGGGAATGGGGGATGTGGGTTGTATTGGGGAGAGTGAGGGTTATGCTTCTATTAGATGTAGAGATGAGGACAAAGATCTGGGAATTAATGGAGGGATGTTAGTTTATTCTTTAACGCCGCACTCGGCAATATTCAATCTGTATAACGGCTGTCTGTAAATAATCGAGTCTGGACCAGACAATCCAGTGATTGACATCATGAGCATCAATCTTCGCAATTTTGATACGATGACATGCATCAACCAAGTCAGCGAGCCTGACCACACAATCCCGTTATTTGCCCCTTATGGCAAGCATGGGTTGCTGAAGACCAATTCTAACCCGGATTTTCACGGGCGATGGGGTGATGTGCCAGATCGTTGATACGAATCTACCAGATTAGGGGTGGGGTGGGGAGTATTTCTATATGATGAATGGGGTGGATGCTATTTCTACCCGATGCGGCAATGAGGGTCATGATTCTATCCGAATAAGGTAAGAAGCCTACCAAATAAGGTAGTATGGGAAGAAATGGGATTTCCTAAGAACATGCTTGGATGTGGGTTTATGATGGTAAGGATCTGTTGCAAGCGACGTAAACTACTTTATAGAACGTGTGCATACTCACAAGTTAATGGGCGTGCATATATTACATGTACATTCTACCGTGACTTACCATCTGAAACACACGTAACGAATTTACAAATAAAACAGGATGCTATAGAATACATTATCCAAAATGTTAAAATAACAGATGCGATAAAAGTTGTAAATGGGATTTTTTTAACTCAACACAGGTCTAATTCATGCTTGCTTTACATCCATGAAACTGCCATTATTACAACAATTATGGCGTCAAAAAAACATATGCCGTCTTTTTGTACTTGCACAGCCACCAAAACGTGCCATTTCGTGCTGTAAAGCCTTGCAAGTCTTGCCTACCGTCAGCAGTTGTGATTAAAACCTTAGGACGCGCAGTTATAAAATAGCCTACAGTGAATAATGTCAAGATATCCCGCGAGTACAGTCTGACATCATCGAGAAGATCACAGACATTGGGTAGAAGGTGTTCATCCCAAGGGGGTTGCCGAGCAATAGCTTGAGAAGACAAATCCTTCGGAGGATCACCTGCCGCCTCTAAGTCTACTATGGATGAAACATACGAGGATCAATATTTAGCCATTTACAAATTTACACATGATTTTTCAATCAAACATAGCTTAGCATCACAGTGCAGAGACCTAATGACACATTTATTGCATTGTGTAGTTGCGTTGTAATGTTCTCGTTTTTCATGTTCTCCCGTCCGGGAAATAAGGCTGTGTTGAGAGGGCTGCAACTAAAATAGACATAGCAATATTGACCGATTGCGACCCGCACTGAAGACCATGGCACTTTAGATTTGATGCCGATGGCACTGTAATCAATGAAAGTAAATCTGAAGTAGCAAACTTTATAGAATGTTTTAGCTGGCGTGAAAACCTCTCACATCACCTCTTTGGTGTCTGTCAATCCCTGATAATATCATTAAGAAAGTTTCGAGAAATGTCGATTTGGGTTTCTCGATTTGGGAACCTTTTTAGCCTGCGGTGACATTACAGACCTGTGCATACAAACTTTGTATTGGTGAAAACATATTTGTCCACATGTAAACAAGTCTTTAGGTCTAAGGCTATTTCATAGCGTAATTCTAACTTGATGTGACAACACTGCTGATTTAATGTATCGATAATCGGATGAACGGGTTGGAAATCTTAAAAGCCAGGACAAAAATCAAAACTTCCTATATTTTTATCTAAAAACTGTCCTTTAGCAGCGGTGATAAATCATTTTATAAGTGAGTGAGTGAGTTGGGTTTCACGCCGATTTTAACAGTATTCCAGTTATAACACGGCGTGTCAGTTTAATGTGGGTTGGAAAGCCAGAAGTGATGCACGTCTCAGACGTTTACCACTTCGGTGAAACCCACGAGCCGGGTATGGTGCTGACAAACCTAGAAACATAATTGGGGCGAACCGGGATTGGTTCCCATGGTCATAGGTTTCTGGTTTCTGGAATACTTTTAAAAGCGGCGTTCAACCCTACCCACTCACTCACTATGGGCAAAAATTAGATTGCGAAGAGAATACTTTTCTCAAAGCTAATACCAGTTCACTGAGAGTTAGCAAGCAGCAAAACATTCCTTACACTCGTATAAATGAATGGATTGCTTGTGGTTATCTGTGAGTCTTGCAGAAAAAGAACCATACTTAATAACGTCGGCAGTAATCTATCGACATTGGCTTTTGTTCACAAAGCAGTGACTGGGTACCCGGTAGTATGACATGGTAACATTCAGGTTTGTTAATACCACAATTTGAACGTAGCATGATTCGTCGACCGGGATAATATGATGACGTCATGTTTGAGTAGTTTGCACTGTGGTGTTCATTCTTGAGTTATTGATTTTGACGGTTGTCTCTTGCGTTGACGTATAAAATTGTTTGTTTGTTTGTTTGTTTGTTTGTTTGCTTGTTGTTCAACGCCGCACACAGCAATACTACAGCCATATGACGACGGTCTGTATATAATTTAGTCTTGACCAGACAATCCAGTGATTGACATCATGAGCATCGATCTACGCAATTGGGATACGATCATATGCATCAACCAAGTTCAGCGAGCCTGACCACCCGATACCGTTTACTTGTGAAATGTGTCGATGCGTCTGTTGGTGGACTGGGTTCCCGAGTTAAATACGAGTCAACTGCAAAAGAAAGGTTAGGCAGAGACATTAAACCTGCCTTATCTGGTTTGTTTACAGACCAGCGTCGCACGGCAGGAGTACCGCTGCGCAGCGTCAGACAACAAACGCTTGCAAATTGTGTGGTGATTAGGTGCTACTGGTAGGGCAGGACATGCTTACCCTTTCGCGAACACCTGGTGTCATCGCTGATCTCCAATAATCCATTCATGTAATTTTCACCGCCAATGGATCTGTTTCGGCGCATAATCAAGATTGAGTTATTTTCTGGCGTTGGCGTTTTGTATTATATGGTCTTTATATCAGCATATGCATGCACTGCATCCAACTCCCACATCGATCCAACATCGTCGTCCCACTGCCCAGCACCATCTCCTCGTATTCATCATCCATCTTGTTCAATAGTTCAGGACAAGGCCCAATAAACACCCAATTAATCATGGTTTCGAAGAAACACATGACAATTTAACAAATAGCTTTCTTACTTCAGAAGAAATAGCCTAACCAACTATTGAACAGATCAATTTGGCCATAACCTTGACACGTGGCCATACTTGCCCCTTAACCAGGCAAATACGCACTGAGATATAGACAGTCATTATTACGTGACGGCCTAACCTAATTTAGACTAATGGTTGACACATCGAATTGTACGTGACCTTTCTGAAGAAGGTCATTATTTAGCCATTAACAACGTGGCGTGAAACGGTCAATTCCAGACAGAAGAACGGCCTGGAGAGGAATCTGTGGTATATAAGAGTGAAGGGAATCTTGAAACGAAGGATATCTTACTTTTCGGGATTTCCTAATACTTAATCTTTGGGAGCGTTGGGTGAGGAAAGGTGAAATGGCGTTTAGCGTCGTGTTCAAGGTTATTGCGCCTCTATAGCGACGTACATGCACGTTCTTAGACTAACATTTAGTCTCTGAAATCTTATTTTACACAATATCCTTCTTGACTCTAAAAATAAAATAAAATTCCCTATGCTGATTTCAGAGTGTGGAATAGATCTAGCTTGAGCTGGCAAGACTTGCTTTTGTATGAGTTTCTAGATTTATTTTTTTCATAAAATAAATATATTCGACGGTCATGGTGCAGGACTAGCACGTCCATGTGGGTGGCTTCTTGTACTAGTCCAGCTTCATTAAAGCCGGTTTTATAGTGATAACCCACTGAGATACCAAGTTTAACATGAATACCCAACTCAGAGGTATACTGAGCCGACCATGCCATGTTTTAACCTCTTAATGCCGAGCACCAGGCAGGGCAACAACAAGTATCATCTTTTAACGTCTTTTGATCGGCCAGGGATCGAACCCCGCACGTTCTGATCTCCGGGCAGACGCTCTCTTCACTAGACACGGATGTGTTCTATGGAACGTATTGCATTAGGCGTAACATGGTTAGTGTCTCAGTGAAGTAAATGAATGTGATAAGTATTTAATACATTCAAGTCCCAACACACGTAGTTCTACCAGTAATAATATAGTGAGGTGAGGTGAGTTGAAATTGGGTTTAACGTCAGATTATTGCACTTATATAGCGACGTGCATGCACGTGTGTGTGTTTGTGGCTGCTTGTACTAGTCCGGACTGATGCCGATTTATAGTGCTAGCTCACTGAGATACCATACCGCAGTTTAACATGAATACCCCACTCAGACACAGTATACTGACTCCGAGCCTACCAGTCCTTGTTTTAGCCCCTTAATGCCGAGCGCCAGACAGGGTAACAACAAGTACCATCTTTAAACGTCTTTTGGTATGACGCGACCGGGGATAGAACCCCGTACCTTCCGCTCTCCGGGCGGACGCTCTACCACTAGACCACGGAGGCGGTCTAGTAATAATATGGCCAACCATAACTGTTGAATCATTTCGTACACATTATAATAGTGGCAAGACAGAATCGTTAATGTAAACAGCACGTATGTTGTCAAATAATCATCATGCATATTTAAACAGCATATGAGCTAAGTCAATACACGCACACACAGTCCTTTGGGCACACCAAAAACCTGTGATTGTGGGTTCGAATCCCGGTTCGCCCCGATTATGTTTCTAG